TACTGTCTTTGGCCAGTGTGCTGGATGCTTTTATGCCAGCTTGACACAAGCCAAAGTCAACTAAAAGGAGAGAACCTCAATTAAGAAAATGCCTCCTAGCCGGGTGCTGGTGGCCCACACCTTTAATCCCAGCACTCAGGAGGCAGAGGCAGGTGGATCTCTGTGAGTTCAAGGCCAGCCTGGTCTACAGACAGAAAATAAAATGTTTGTTTGTTTATTTATTTATTATTTACAATGTTCTGCCTGCATGTATGCCTGCAGGCCAGAAGTGGGTACCAGATCTCATTACAGATGGTTGTGAGCCACCATATGGTTGCTGGGAATTGAACTCAGGACCTCTGGAAGAGCAACCAGTGCTCCTAACCACTGAGCCATCTCTTCAGCCCATGTAGAGCATTTTCTTAGTGATTGATGGGGGAAGGCACAGTCTGTGGTGGGTGATGCCATTCCTGGGCTGGTGGTCCTGGGTTCTATAGGGAAGCAGTCTGAGAAATCCATGGACAGCAAGCCCTAAGCACCAGTCCTCAATGGCCTCTGCATCAGCTCCCGCCTCCAGGTTCCTGCCCTGCTTGAGTTCCTCTCCTGACTTTCTTCCATCATGCACTAGGATGTGGAAGTGTAAGCCAAACAAACCCTTTCCTCCTCAACTTGCTTTTTGTCATGGTGTTTCATCACAGCAATAGAAACCCTAACCAGGACAGCCAGAGTCTTACTATCTAGTCCCAATTGACCTACAACTTACTATGTAGACCAGACTGGCCTTGAACTCACAGAGATCTACTTGCTTCTCTGCCTCCTGAGTGCTGAGGTTAAAGGTGTGCACCACCATGCCTGGTACCTTGTTCACTAGTATATTCCAATCGATTTGCACAAAGCAGGCTGTTGGCAATTGTTTTCTGAGTGTAGGACTGATGTATAACCAAGTCTCTCACAGGATGTGTAGGTGGTGAAGAGAGGGGAGCTTGTCAACTCTGCCCGGGGGACAGAGGCGCTTCATAGAAGATGTGCAAGGCCAGGAGTAGGAGGTTTGACCCAGCGGGATGGAGCACACTCAGATTCTGCCTACATAAGCAAGTGGCTCACAAATTCATGAAGCCTTCTGGATATCCAGGAGACAAAGTTGTCCGTCAAACCAAGACTTGGCCGGCCAGGCTGGTGAAACAGCGCCACCAACTGGTGGAATGTTTGGCTGCCATTGCGGTCCGCTAGGAGCTTTACAGAGTTCTGGATGCCTGAGTGACACCAGCCAGCAGAGTGGCCCTGAAAATAAGGCCCAGAGTGGGGCTGTACTGGAAGGACAAGCTCTCCCCCTGCATTCCGGGGGCCCTGAAAGCAGAAGCCTCAGGCAGCTTCTGAAAGGAAAAGTGTTCCCTGGCACCAGTAGCCTGGATAGAATAAGTGGGTCCTGGAAGGATTCCTCCGGCTTAGTTCACAGTGCCACGGACTCGTAGCATCGCTGCCGTGAAAATTTAACATCTTCCTGCCTCAGTTTCCTCACATGCAAACTTAGAATGATAATGGTCGCTACATCTTGCCTTGTTCCACAGTATTCCATCTGCCACAATATTCCACTGGCTGTTACTGAGTCTCAATTTACTGTATTAGGGCCAGTGAGATGGCTCAGAGGGTAAAGGCGCTTGCTGCCAGGCCTGAGAACCTGAGTTTGATTCTCGGGATCCTCACCGTGGAAGGGGAAAGCCGACCCCTGACAGTTGTGATCACTACATATACACTGTGGCAAATGCACAGTCCTCTCCGAACAATAATAATAAAGTATTTTTAAATGTTCTGTATTTTGTGCATGTGCAAATGCATTTGGAAGCTGTCCACTTTAAAAAACAATTAAAGAAGCCAGGTGGCGATGGTGTACACTTTTAACCCCAGTACTCAGGAGGCAGAAGCAGGTGGATCTCTATGAGTTCAAGGTCAGTTTGATCTAAAGAGTGAGTACTTGGACAGGCTTGATAAGCTATAGAGAAAGCCTGTCTCAAGAGAGAGAGAGAGAGAGAGAGAGAGAGAGAGAGAGAGAGAGAGAGAGAGAGAGAGAGAGAAAGAAAGAAAAAAAGAAAAATTTTAAAGAACTTTTAAAATTTTAAATTATTTTATTTTATTTTTAGAAACAAAGATTTTAAAAATTGTTTTCAATTAAGTATATGTTGTGTCTCCAAGTATGGAGTATGGGTATGTGGACAGGAGTGTAGGTGCTCGAGGAGGCCTGAAGCATTAGGTCCCCTGAGCTGGAGTTACAGGCAGTTGTGAGCTGCCCAATGTGGGTGATGGGAATCAAACTGGGGTCTCCTTTCTGGAAGAGCAGAACATATTTTAATCACTGGGGCATTCTCCAGCACCTCAAAAGAATTTTAAAAGATTTATTTATTTTATGTGTATATGAGTGTTTTGCTTGCTTATTTATTTTATGTGTATATGATTATTTTGCTTGCTTATTTAGTTTATGTGTATATAAGTGTTTTGCTTGCATGTGTATATGTGCACCATGCATGTCACCTCAGAGTTCAGGTGTGGGTCTGTGGAACTGGAGTTATGGTTGTGAGCCAGGTGCTGGGAACTGAACCTGGGACCCCTGAACAGCAATAGGGCTCTTAATCACTGAACCATCTCTCCAGTCCCCTGGCTGCCCTATTTTGAGACAGGGCCTCTCACTGGCTTGGAACTTGAAAGTAGGTTAGACTGGCTGGTCAGTAACCTCAGGGTCTCCCTGTCTCCACCTCTGCCTTTCTGGGATTACAAATGCATACCACCACACTTTTACATGAGTGCTGGGGATTTGAACTCAAGTCCTAAAGCTTGGACAGCCAGCACATTATCTGCTAAGCCGTCTCTCCAGCCCTGTACTAGGATTCTGACCAGCATCATCACTGAAGATGTGGACTGGAGTACCTCTGAGGGACTCGGAGGCTGGGAGAGGGAGGGACAGTGTGTGACACTGTATAGAGGGAGCTGTCCCACCCTGAGAAAAACAGGGGCTTGTAGCTGAACACTGAGTGCTTTTGAAACACGACTTGGAGGGGACATTCAAGAATTCCCACAAGCAGGGCTCTATTTCTGAAATCCAATTTTAGAAACGGCTGTGATTTGTGTGTTTTCCTGTCAACAGGGTAGCTCCAGATGCTGCTACCAATTAATTCGTCATTTCTCCATTTGCCAACTGAGTCATCCCCATGTCAGTGGATTTAAATGTTTGTGAAGTCATGCAGTCTTCCATGAGAGGGGGATTGGTACAGACATGTTTGGGTAGAAAGTCAAGTGACGCACATGAAGCTGAACTTGTGACGTTTGATCATACAGGTTTGTTCGTTTGTGGTTTTTTGAGGCAGGGTCCCACTATGAATAACCTAGGCTGGCCTCAGACAAGAGATCCTCCAGCCTCAGCCTCCTCAGGTGCTGGGATCACAGGTGTGCACCAAAACACTGGGCTGGATTTCATTTTTAACACCCCCCCCCCTCTCTCTCTGTGTGTGTGTGTGTATGTGCATGTAGCAGCAAAGACTAAGAGTTGGTTCTCTTCTTCCAATGTGAGTCTAGGGGATTAAATTCAGGTCATCTGCCTTGGCAGAAAATTCCTATTTACCTATTACCCCTCAACCTTACTTTCCGAGACCCAGTCTGGAGCTCACCAGCTTGGGTAGACTGGTTGGCCAGCAAGTCTCAGGGATTCTCCTGACTCCACTGGGATCATGAGTGCACATTGCCACACCTGGCTTTTTAATGGAAGCTCTGCTGTTCAAACTCATGCCTTGTACGTGCAAGGCGAGCACTTTACTAAGTTGTCTCCTCATCTCTGCTTTTAACCTTGATGTGTCTAGTAGTTTTAACTGTCTACTGTGGCTGTCCCAGTTTTAATTGAAATGTGTTTGCTGAGCACCTGTTCCTACCACAGTACAACTCCAATATTACTAACTCAAGAATGTAAGACATTTCCCCACGACAGCTGGATGCGTTTGGAGAAAGGAAGGGATGAGCGGGTTTTGTGGCAATGCCTGTATGAAGTGTCTTAGTTAGGGTTTCTATTGCTGAACAAAACACCATGATCCAAAGCAAGTTGGGGAGAAAGGGGTTTAGTTGGCTTACACTTCCACATCATAGTCCATCATTGGAGGAAGTCAGAACAGGAACTCAGGCAGGGCTGGAACTGAGAGGCAGGAGCTGATGTAGAGGCCATAGAGGGATGCTGCTTACTGGCTTGTTTCCCATAGATGGTTCAACCTGCTTTCTTGTAGAACCCATGTCCAACAGCCCAGGGATGACACTACCTACAATAGACTGGGCCCTTCCCCATTGATCCCTAAATCAGAAAATGCCTTATAGCTGGATCTCATCAAGGCATTTTCTCAACTGAGGCTTCTTCCTCTGATGACTCTAGCTTGTGTCAAGTTGACACAAAATCAGCCAGTACAGTGAACAAACCAGATACTCAGGGGCAGAGGCCAGGAGAGTGCATTTTCAAGGCCTACCTGGGAAGATACGGAATATGTTCAAGGCCATCCTAGGCAACTTAGTAAGACCCTGTCTTAAAGACAGGGCTGAGGGTGTTTAATGGAGAATTCCTGCCTAGAATCCTCCAGTGCTGGAGGGCATGTCTTAGTGGTAGAGTACCTGCCTAGAATCCCCCAGTGGGAGGTTAAGAGTGTGGCTCAGTGGTAGAGCACCCACCTAGAATCCTCCAGTGAGGGGTTGGGGTGTGGCTCAGTGGTAGAGCACCTGCCTAGAATCCTCCAGTGAGGAGCTGATGTGGTGCAGGGCATGTCTCAGTGTTAGGACGCCTGCTTGACATCCTTTAGTGAGGGGTTTGAGAAACCAGAGCAATCTGGAAGAGTCTCTGATCACTGTCTGGATTTCCAGGGCTAGTGAGCATAAAACTGAGGTGACAGGTCTGTTGTCCTGGTGGCCTCCCAAACTCTAAGTAGGCATAGTACCTCCAGCAGCCAGTCTGAGGTGGATGGGCAAGAGTGCATGCCCCACTGACCTCGTCCTTGTGTTAGTTACAGGACTCTCATCAGACCGACCTACCGGGTTTCCTACCGTACGGTAACCGCACTGGAGTGGAAGTGTTGCCCGGGATTTACTGGGAGCAACTGTGATGAGGGTAAGTAGGGGATGAGGCCCTAGTCATCTAGGCTGTAGGGGCCATGGGTGTTTCTGTCCTCACCCCCAACTGCTTTGTGCCAACTGGCCCCTTTCTATGGACTTTGAGAATGTGGTTCTTTATTTTCCTAACAATCCCTTAGCCCAGTGCTCTGGGTGAAGCAGTCCGCCATGTTTGTGGGCCCTGACTCGGGTTCCTGTTGACCTTGGTTGGATGGGGAATGCGGGAGCCTCATGCGCTACAGCCCATTCCTTCTCCTTCTGTTTGGCACATTCAGAACTGGGGCAAGTACTACTAGCTGTTTGTGGCCAAACAAATACAGGTAAAGTTTAATTGGGGCACAGTCAGGCAGACGCCAGGGTGCCAAGTTGTGCCTGGCTTCCCTCCATGTCAGAGGAAGGATGGATAGCTGGGCCAGGCCCAGCCCTTCCTTCCCAATGCTCTGGGGCCCTAGCACAGCCTAGCTTTGGTGTTCATGGGTGTAACGACTCTTTCTTTATACCACCGGCTCCCAAATAACAACACAGAGACTTATTAATTGTGAAAGCTCGTTCTTAGCTTAGGCTTGTTCCACTAGCTCTTATAACTTAAATTAACCCATTTTACTATTCTGTGGCATGGCTCATTACCTCATCTCTCCATACTGCTTGTTATGCTTCCTCTGCTTCTGGCTGGTGACTCCGCCTCCTTCTTCCCAGAGTTCTCTCTGCCCAGAAGTCCTGCCCATACCTCCCATCTAGCTATTGGCCATTCAGCCTTTTATTACACCAATGACAGCAGTACATTTTCACAGTGTACAAATATCCCACAACACATGGGGCTAGAAATATATATGATATACACAAAAGAATATACATGTTATGTTATCTATAATAAGTATTATCTATATATCATACACAAAAATACATATGCATGTATCTGTGTAGGTACACATGGCTGTGTGCATATGTGAAGGTCAGAGGTCAACACTGGAGCCATCTACCTCATTTTGAGACAAGGTTTCTCATTGGGGTGTGGGGCTCACTGATTAAGGTGGTCTGGTTGCTTGGACAGTGAGACAGGAATTCCCCTGTCTCTAGCTCTCCAATGTGGAGATTACCAGTGCAGCGAGCACACCCAATTTAGTGGTACCCAGGTCGAGGCTTTGCCATGTGACCCCTCCAGCCCCAACAAATGCATTTTTGACGTTTTAAATTTATAATGAGTATATTTGGGCACTGTCCTGTTGTAAGTCAGAAAGCACCTATTTATGCTCAGTGTTGAAGTGTAGAAATTCCTAGAATGACATCTCCCGAAGTAGCCTTGAGTCTCCCTTTGGCAAAAAAATCAAAACAGAATGAAAAAGTGTCAAGGACAACAAAACCTAAAGCTTCTCTTGTGCTTATGCACCAGTCGTTCAGTGACTTTCAAGGACATGCCTTCTTGTGGGCAGATGGCCTTCTTACACTATTTTTGGTGGTTATGGGATCTAGGAATGTGCTTCATTTATAATTAAACTCCTATTATAAGACATTTGAGTCATTTTCAATCTTTGCATAGCATTCCTGTAAACATCTTTAAAAAAAAAAAAAAAAAAGAAAGAAAGAAATTTTCCATACACTTAAGTGCATGTTATCCTCCCCCACTTCTGTATACATATGTATTGGAGTGCATTGCTTGTGTTTGAGTGTCCAAGTCAAAAGAGAGCACTGAGCACCCTCCTACCACTCTCTACCTTAAAACATTTTTTTAAAAGATTTTTATTTTATGTGTATGGGCATATTGCTTGAATGTATGTCTGTGCATTGATTGCAGGCATACTTGTGCCCACAGAGGCCAAGTAAAGGGCATCAGATCCTCTGGAACTGGAGTTCTAGACGCTTGTGAGCTGACGCTTGTGAGCTGACATGTAGGTGCTGGGAATTGAACTTGGGTCCTCTGCAAGAGCAGTCAGTGCTCTTACCTGCTGAGCCATCTCTCTAGCCCTCTCCATTTGCTTTTTTGAAGCAGGGTCTCTCCCTGAATCTGAAGTTCATCTCATGTGTTCTTAGTTTGACCAGAAGCCTACACACCCCAGACATCTTTCTGTCTCATTCCCTTTGTTTGGGAAACCAATGAGTTTCATATACGTTTGTTTACAGAGCATGGTAGGTGATATTTACAGGAGCACGGACTCACCAGAGGCTATAACGCTGAGGAAGATGCCTACATATCTTTAGGGAGAGCGGAGCCTCCCGAGTCCTTCCCTCCTCTAGGATGGGGTCTTGATGGGCTCACTAGAGTAGGTCTCTTCAGGAATCACACCTGATTGCTGCTGAGAATCCAAGAGTCCCAGTGCCATGCCACGCCCACAAGACCGATTTCTGGACCACTTCTTACCTCCCTCCAGCTTTTACTCTCTTTCTGTCCCCTCCTAGGCAGTGTTCGTGAGCCTTGGAGGGGGTAACAGAGCTGATTCTAAATTGAAACAATATTGGCTTTGTTCTGGAATCTGCCTAGATGCCCACAGTAGATGAATGGATGGAGAAGATGCGCAGGCATGCATAGGGAGTTTCATCGAGCCACGAAGGCTAATGAAATCGTGTCAGTTTTTGGGAAATGATTGGGGCGCCGAACTTCATGTTGAGCAAAAACAAACTGGAACTCATTGATTCTATTACTTACTGCCCAGCGAGCTCCAGCGAGCCCTCCAGCGAGCCCCAGCGAGCCCTCCAGCGAGCCCCAGCAAGCCCCGTCTTTGCTCTTCAGTGATGGGCTTTCTGGCACATTTACATGGGTGCTGGGGATTTAACGTGGGTCCTCATGTGTACACAGCAAGCATTTTACAGACCGAGCCATATCCCCAGCCCTAAAAGACATTTTTAAAGTTTCTGACTCTTGCTGGACCTGGATATTGATTTCTGCCAAAGCCAAGGGCAGGAGGCAGCATTGAACACGAATATGGTTCTTGTCTTTCTCATCTAGGTCTGATTTAAGAGTGATTTCATAAAGGCTAGAGGGATGGCTCTATTGCTATTCTTGCAGAGGACTGGGGTTATGTTCCCAGTACCCATATTGGGTGGCTCTCAACTGCCCATAACTCAGCTCCAGGACATCTGATGCCTTCTGGCCTCTTTGAGCACTCATACAAACATACATACCTCCATACATAGAAGCATGTATATGTACATATACATATCTTTAAGTATATGTATATTTATAGTAATATACACACATTTACATATATGTATATAACATACATATATGTATACATATAAATAAATTGAATCCCATGTCCTATCTACAGATGTCCCTCCAGTTAGTCACCTGTTGCTCACCTTGACTATGATACAGTTTAGAAAGGACTTCAACCTAGCGCTACATACTGCCATTGCAGGAATGTGGAGACTGAAGCTCTGAGGCAGAAAGTAAGTTAGTCAAGTCACCTAGCTAATGAGTATCCAATACAGAGCTGGAACCCGGCTGTTTATCCAGTACAAAGCTGGAACCCAGCTGTTTTTGCTTCCTGGAATTTTGAAGGTCCAGGGAAAACTCATCCGAAGTCATCATCTTTCCGCACTGCTTCTAGCAACTCCGAAGCCAGATCCATCTCATTTTAGGCGCTTGTTGAAGTTTGAAGTGTCCCCCACAGGCTCGTGTGTATTAACACATGGCCCCCAGCTAGTGGTATTGTGTTTTAAGACTGTGGGACCTTTAGGAGGTAGAGGCTTGATGAAGAAAGTGAATCACTGGGGACGGGGTGCCGGGATTGGGGGAGGTGGACTAACAGGTTTGGTGTAAAATTTTCTCCTTAATGAGGAGACTAAGCAAGATCTACACACACACACACACACACACACACACACACACACACACACACACACACAACCTTATAAGGTCCCAATAACAAAGCAAAGTTCCATGTCACCAAAGTTCATCCTGGGGAATCAATGAGTTTGTTGAGTTTTCTTTCAGATCATGGATGAGAGAGAGGTCAGAGGTTGGACCATGACTAACCCTAAAGCAATTTTACTGGAAGGTCTGTGCCCAGCATGGATGGTGGTTTCCCAGTCTATATGCCATGGTCCCTTCCTGAGAGCCTCCATGGCCACAGGAAATTAGAGTAGAATTGGAAACAAATGCCTGGGGTAAGTGTCTGGATACCCAGATGAGGGCCCAATGGCCCTCCCCACCATATTGTTCTCCGTGTAAGGTCAGCTGTCCATGGTCCCAGCTGTGATGACCATTTGCAAGCAAGCACCGGTCATGTGAAGATGGTAGTTGTTTGGCTCGGAGATAGCACCATGCAAACAGTTTACAGCCCACTTCCTGTCTGCTCTCCACTTCCTGTTCCTCTAAGATGGGAGGAGGCAGGGATTCCCAGCGCATTCCTACTACCCCGCTGTCTCCTGCCACCAACCACTATGCCTCCCTCTCCTCCTTTACCTATGGACTCTATCTCTTGAAACTGCCAGCCAAATAGACCCCTCCTGTCCTAAAGAGCTTCTTGTCAGCTATTTGGTCACGGCAACCAGAAAAGTAACTAATAGAGTATCTGAGGGATTTGTGACAAGTGAAGAGAATTGTTCTCTTTTTCCTCTCTTTGTTTCCAGCTGGAAATAAATCTAGGATGGGGAGGAAATGAATCCCCAGGGTCCCGTTAGGGGCAAGCAAAGCCTGGGGCAGAGGGGTTCAGCTAGCGCATTCAAGCATGAGCTGATTGATTTGGGTCCAAATGAGGCTGCCCTTTCACCACTCGTATACACTCTGTGTATGAGCCTGTTTATATTTTGAATGGCAGAGGGTTCAAAGCCAGAAAGAATTCTCCTGGGAGGGGCTGAGGCCACTCCTGGCCAATCTGCAGAGCTCAGGGTTTTAGGGAACCGATTCCCAGTGAATCTGAGAAGGTCTTTACGACTTGTCTTCCCCGGCTGCCATTAAAGCAGGGCTTTAGCAAGTGTGGCTATTTATTAAAATGAATGGCAGACGGAGGGGGTTCCAGCACTGTGTTGGACACATGTGTCACAATGATGAAAGGGAAA